AAAAAGGTTGCAGCAGCGGCAAGGGAGCCCTCGTTGCTGTTGCTGCCAACCCACCGCCGCCGAGAAGGACCGGCGGTGGTGGGCGCAGTGGTCGACGAGGGTCGCTGGCCCCTGGCCAGGGCCCAGCGACCCTTGCCTCGCCCAGCAAGGGTCGAATCCGACGAGGCGAGACCTCGCCGTCGCCTGGGTCGCGACGGCGAGGCGCGGCCTCGCATTCGCTGGGCGAGGCGAGACCTCGCCATCGCCTGGGTCACGACGGCGAGGCGCGGCCTCGCCTTCGCTGTGCGAGGCGAGACCTCGCCTTTGCCTGGGTCGCGATGAGGGAGCCCTCGCCACTGCTGCCGCCAACCCACCACTGCCGGCCCTTCCCGGCGGTGGTGGGCGCAGTGGTTGGCGAGGGTCGCCGGCCCCTGGTCGAGGCCCGGCGACCCTCGCTGGTCTCGGCGAGGGTTGTCGGGCCCCGACCGCCTTCGCGACCCAGGCGACGACGAGGTCTCGCCTCGCCTAGCGGAGGCGAGGCCGACCTCGCCGTCGCCTGGGTCGCGATGGCGAGGTGCAACTTGCCTTCGTTGGGCGAGGCAAGACCTCGCCGTCGCCTGTGTCACGACGGTGAGGTCTCGCCTCGCCGGATCAGGCCCTTGCTAGGCTCGGCGAGACCTCGCTGTTGCCTGGGTCACGACGGCGAGGTCTCGCCTCGCCGGATCCAGCCCTCGTTGAACACTGCGCCCACTACCGCCGGCCCTTCCCGGCGGTGGTGAGCTCTCACCGCTGCAGCAGGCTTCTTATTTATTTATTTAATATAATATAATTTTTTTAAAAAAAAGTACACATTAGCAGGCACGTTTTTGGTTTTGAATGCTGACTGGACCTCTCCGGCGAGCCGTGGACCTCTCCGGCGAGCCGTGTCAGCGCCACATCGGATTTCCGGCGAGCCATGTCAGCATTGGCACTAAAATGATCATTTTTCAAAAAAGTTAGCACTAAAGTGATCCGAAAAAATGTTATGGCACCAAAGTGATCGCTGTACACAAGTTATGGCACTTCTAGTGTACTTTTGCCCTTTTCTCTCTTACGAATGTCATGCCCCTTTGTTACAAAGTTGTCTAGTGCCTCCTTTTATTTTTGAATGTTTTTTTGCCTTTTCGTATACTGCGTGTGTTACGAGCTTGTGTATCGTCGACGTGCCTCTTTTCTTGTGAAAAAAAAATCCCTGCTTATGCCTATTATCAAACTTTCCTTGTTATTTTCGTTTTCTTTGCATGCACTTTCACATGTATTTCCATCTTTAGCCAAATCCACTTTTGTCTTTGTCGACATCTAAATTTTGGCTATTCCACTTAGTCATTTATTGCATAAGAAAATTAGGGATCGATCCGACCCTTAAACAAAAAATATTATTAGCATAGTTCATATTCGCAAATTTAAGTCATGCACGTAAGTCACATGGTCATAACACGATGTTACCATGGACCATCACGCACACAATCGAGAGCCATGACCGGCCACATCCATTGGAGGTGTTTAAACTCCACACTCAACTCTTTGTTGATGAAGTGTGATGTCTGGTGCTTACTCGATTCAATGGTTATCTATTCAATTCTATTCTTATCCCCCTTTGAATCGTTTCAAACCCATGTTTTATCTAAAAGGAAGGATCAAAGTCTAATTTACGTTATTTCTTAAACTAAATCCAATTCGAATATTTGATTACCTAATTGGATTATTTGACTTGGTGAAACTTACGCATTTCCCAAATAGGAAATTTCCTTCTTTCGAGTTGTGTATATTTGTGATAATTGGGATTTTGATCTTTGAGACTAACACTTATATCCCCGATTATCTTTATTTTCTATTTTGGATGTGGCAAATATTTGATAATGTCAGCTTAAAGATATTCTATGTCATTAATTTAGGTAACTTTTTTGAAAATACAAAAAACAAAATTGCACTACACTCAGGATAGATTGCATTCAATTATTTCTTAATTTAGAATTGCATATTTAGGAACCACGTTGTAATTTAGAAATTACTTAATTTAGATTAAGATTTAATATAAATTATTTCCTAGTTTAAATTAGGTCATTGGATACTTTTAAGCAGTTTCCTATTTTAGCTTTAAAAGAAAATTCAAAAAATATAACATGCATATTTCATATAGAATTAGTTTGATAAATTCAATGTCACATATTATGTGTCATTTAATAATCACATGCTTTAGGGCCATGTCATCATATCTATGTCATAATATCCATGTCATCATATCCATATCATTTAGTGATTACATGTTTAGGCTATTATAAATTAGATTGCATATCATGTTAGACTAGTTCATGATTTTTTTGCCTTCATTAGAATTAGGTCACATATAGATTGCATTTAAATTCATGTCATTAGTTTAAATTAGAAATCACATAAGACATAACTTAGATTAAAATTGCATCTTATGCATTGTATATAGTTTAATCTTTTATAATAAAAAAAACCCAAAAATAATTAATTGTCATTGCATTTAGAAATCATGTTTAGGTCGTGCGTATATTCTTTAAGTTAACAATCTTGCAGAATACTTGGAACAGTATCATAATGAAGGCATGCTTTACTTAATGCATTGAGGTTTTTGCCTATTTCTAACAATTTATTTATTTTGATTATTGAGTGTTAAATCTTGCTTGCGCAGCGGCGTGATCATCTCTCACATATTAATGGTTTAGGATTAAAATTGGCAAAGATTGCTTGCAAAGTATTTTTTAAATAAGGAGAAAAACTATCGAAAGAGTGTTAGATTTGTCTAGCGTAACCAAATCCCATATCCATGATATTTCTGGTTTGTAAAAGTAAAATGTTATCTCAACAGTTTACTTGGGTTTTTAATCGACCTATAATAGATTAGTGGATACTCATAATTGAACTGAATTGCATGTGCAATTGATACAATTATAATCTCAAAGTCTGATTGATATGGTCTTAGGAGAGTCCGTGCTAAATATAAGCTTAGTAATCCATTAGTTTTCCCTGGATGGTTCACCTCGTGGAAGGTCACAACAATCTTCTACCCAAAACTTCTTCGTATTCTTTCCTTTCATTCCTTTATAACTTTTCCTTTTTTATCCTGTCAATATTTCGTGAATATGACCAGAGAACCATGCCCCCATGGTGACCGAATTTTGCGCAATATATAGCTCCGAATTTTGTTCGATATATAGCTCTTGATAAGCGCTAGAATGTATTCCTTGGTGACTGAATATCCTTTCCTATTTTATATTTTGCTGAGATTCTTTATCTTAGGTCACTTACTTTCAGAACGACACACGCATTCCACATGTGGTTTTTGGTCACCAGGGTCTTCAACGGGCTTGGCCAAGTTTTGATACTCTCGCAAGCTTAGTTCAGATAATTCGATTAAACTTAGAGCCTCCATGGTCCAGTCCAATTATAATATAATTTATGTGGGCTTAATTAAAATCCTGCCGATATGTTAATGCAAATTAATAATATTTTTGTTTTGGGGTTTGGGTCAATCCTTAATTTTTTATGCAATGAATCCCTAAATGGGATCGCGAAAGTTTAGGTGTTAACAAACTTTCATCGTATGGGTCGAATCGGCACACACATCAATGCGTTCGCGAGCCTAAACTATAGGCACACCTTTAACAAATAAGTTATTTGAGATGACAAAAAGATTGGGCGCCGTTGGGAACATTGAACATTCGACTCGTCGATATTTCTTCATTGAAATAAACTCTAGCACATCAATACATATTAGAGGTCATCCAATCAAACCATCGATCCCTCCACAAAATTTTCATGAGAAATGAGCGAACGCACAACAAGAGCAAGCACCAAAGATCAAAACAACAAAAAAAAAAATGGAAACGAGTTGATTTATATGGTTCAGTCACGGCCTACAACATAGATCCTGTTAGGAGATCAAAACGAGAATTACTTAAAATGTCTCCCTTAACCAAAGCTTATGTCCATTATGTCGCTCATGTGGTGTAACTGATTAATCACATCATCCATGTGACCAAACATCCCAAATCAACTTTTGCAAATGAGTTTCAAAAGATCTCTTATGATAGGCCTACTCTTAGCATGTCGTTGCCACGCTATGTTTCCAATACATAAAATACTTTCTTCACTCTTACAACCCTATTAGGTTATATAGCATTCTGCACCCTCTTTGAGTTTCGTGACTACTAACCGACTCTATGAGTTACAAGATAACATTATACAGCAAAAATCTGGACTTCTCAATAGATAATCAAACTTTCCTTCATCCTTATTCCTTAATTTAATTAATTAATCTATTAAGACCAACATGATGGAAAAAGACACCACAAATGCCATAACTTTCGTACAAAGCTCACTTGAGTACCATAACTTTTTTTTTTATCACGTAAGTGCTATAATTTTTTTTTCGATCACTTAAGTGCCATAACTTATGTACGGCGTTCACTTGAATGTCATAATTTTTTTTCCGATCACTTGAGTATCATAACTTTTAACAAATATTCACCACAAGTGCTATGCCATGGAGGATTTCAAGCACTTGATTGAACGTTTTAAAAAAATTTTGACACTTAAGTAATCGATTAAAAGTTAAGGCACTCAAGTGAATATTTTTCTATAAGTTATGGTATTTAAGTGGTCGAGAAAAGAATTATGGCATTCAAGTGAGCACGTACGAAAGTTATAGCACTTATGATGTCCTTATCCCACCAACGTGAGCTTAAAATCAAGATAAGCTCTAATAATCATAAAGTGATAAGCCATATAAACCAAAGCAGAAAAAAAAATGATAAGCCATATTATGAATGAGTATGTAAAGTTGATCTCATTAAGATGATTCTGTCGAAAGTATAGGATTGAGAAACAAGATGACATATATAAGAGGAGAGAGAGAGAGAGAGAGAGAGAGAGAGAGAGAGAGAGAGATGACTCGTACTAAAGAGGGAGAGAGAAAGAGATGACTCAGATCAATCAAATCAATCGTTCCTCCTTACCGGCTCATAAGTTGTCGTGTTGTGGCCTTGGAGTGTGGGACCTGTGGAGAGTTATGACTCTATACTTCTTACCGGCTCATAAGTTGTCGTGTTATTCCCTTTTCTATTTTTGGTCAGTTCGTGTTATGGCCTTGGAGTGTTATAAATAGGTCTCCAGGGACCTGCAGTTTGCTCCCCACAAGCCTTCCATCTTCACTCCGCTCCCTCTCTTGAAACCCTAAACTTTCCCTGCTTCACTCATTCCTTTCTCCTTTTCCCTGCATCCGAAAATGGCCGGAAACAACAGCTTCATGACCAGCTTACTTGCCCTCCTCGACAGCGAAAAGTTCATGAAAGATGTAACGAGCTCAGGGATAGATCAAGTTGATGTCAAGTATTACTTGAGCCTCGTCGAGAAAATCCTCCACCCAAAGGTAAATTAGTGGACAAGCAAATCAAACAATATGCTATAGTCCCTTTTTCATTTACTTTTTAGTAGTAAAGTTTTCTCTTTGTAAAGGCCAAAAGCCTTAACATAACTAGTTCATGGGACATGCATGGTGTTCCATAGGCTTTTAGGTAATTGTACCTCTATATTCATGACCCTAATTTATAAAATGAAAAGGGAAATATATATTTATGGCCATGGATAAATAGCTGCGTCACTACTACATATTACTCGCAAAAACATGAAATGCATGGCAAATACTGCAATCTTTCCCATTTACTTATTTCCATGGTTAATTGGTTGGTTCTCAACTTGTGGAAAAATGTCTTTGCTCCTCAAATTAATTCCATGTTTCACTTTTCTCCAGCTAAACTGTATCAAGATACACAATTTTTCCATGCTCTTATGTACATAATATTTCATGTTGAGGACTCACAAGTCAACTCTTTTTTCCAGGGTAACCAAGGTCAGAGCAAAAGCTTCAACCCACCTTCTGAAGGAAAGCCTGCTCCTTTGTCATCCATCATCAACAAATTGTGCTGTCAGGTAATCTCATAGTAAGAGACGCACTCCTCCCTCAGAAGTGCAAGTATGCACATGCGGGAGCCCGGCGTTTTAGTTCTTTTTTAACATTACATAGAGAATATAATTTTTTTTTCTCAGATAACAACTGATTTAAAGTAAAAGCGACTTTTTAGGCCGCATTAAAATCTTTCATTCTATCAGAGAAAATACAAACTATTGCTGTGTTTGTTAAGTTCTTCATCACGTCCTCGATGATATTATTTCCAACATTGAATGTCGAAATCTATGTCCGCAACCAACAGATCACTTGCGAGGCCCTGCACACCAACGATGCAAGCCGAGCAATGGAATTGCTTTTCGACAAGTTGTCATCCTTTTCATGGGATGCCAAGGCTGTGCTGACACTGTCAGCTTTGTCGGTTTACTACGCCGAGAATCGGCATCATGCTGAAACTGAAAAAGACTACAAGTTAGTCTTGGCGGCCGAGTTGAGAGGGTCGCGTGCTGATAAGTCGGCTTTTGCGGTGCTGGAGGATCTGATCAGGGTGATTTTAGAGTTCACCGTGTGCACTGTTGAGTTTGCAAACTACTCTGAAAGTTTCAGAGAATCGACATCGATTGACATAAGAGCTAGATTTTATCAAATCATTGTCGGTGTTGTTGGCTGCTCAGTTCCGTTCTGTGGCATGATTAGCACGAGCAATGAGTATGTTATACCTTGCCTTTGCTTTTAGCTGCCTTTGTTAACAGACTTGGAATTAATTCCAAGCTCTCTCTCTCTCTCTCTCTCTCTCTCTCTCTCTCTCTCTCTCTAGCTGTTTCACTTCAAAGCTCCACCTATTTCTTGATGACTTCAGGTTCCTAGAGCTAAATTTATTGCCCTTCTCGAACCGAGTCATGAAGATATATAAATCCTTCAAGAAAGAAGTGGAAAATTTCAAGCAAGAGAACGGTGAGATCATTGTTGTTCTCACATTGAAAGTTGTCCACCTTATCCAGATTCCTTTTTGTGTACGCATATAATTTTTGTCCAATCCATATATCGAACATAAGTACTTAAATTGCAAGTGATTCACATTATGCAGCGGAGCGACTTCGATATAAGCAGATCAAGGGACTTTACAGATCTACTTATGATATTTTAGGGCGTATGGCCGTTCTGTTCTGCACTGAGAAGGATTCGCCAACAGTTTATCATTGTTCCGAGAAGACCACCGTTAGCTTCTCAGTCCCAAAAATCTTCATTTACTTTGATTACTGCTCATTATTGTATATGAATGTCACGATAAGGGAATGCAAATCAACTTACAAGTAATTAACTACGTTTGAAATTTTTAGATGGTTCGTATCTAGGCATTCAAAATGCAAAAATAAGAGCATGGTTTGATCACTGCGTGTCATAGGTAAAGTTGGAGGTGTTCCAGAAAAAGAACGTGATGCTGCTCATTTCAGGCTTGGACTTGTCGAATGATGATTTCATACTCCTTACCAGCATCTACAGTGACAGCACCTTCAAATCTAGTAATTACGAAATTATGTGGGTTCCCATTGCGGATGTAGAAGACGCTGTGATGGAGGAGCAGTTCCAAAAGAAGGGATCTCAGATGCCCTGGTACTCATGCAACTCCATCGTCAGCAAGGCATCAGCAAAGTTCATCAAGAAGTATTGGCACTATAAGCAGCAGACAAAGGTTGTCGTGTTGAACCAAGAGGGGAAGGTGGTGAACATGGACGCAATGACAATGATACGCCTTTCGGGATCAGAAGCCCTGCCGTTCACGCTGGAGAGGGGCTGCAAGCTCTGGGACGCGCACAGGAACAACTGGCTCAAGCTCTTGGTGAACAACACGGTCTTCCAATCTGTCGAACAAAGCGTAAGTTACAAATGCAGTATGGTTTGGATTATGTGGGCCACATTTTTATTATCCATCCCTAGTTGGATGGACCTTCTTCCTACCAGACTTTTGATCAGTGCCTTACAAATCTAGACATATCACTCAAATTTATTTCTAGTTCAGTTTACATTTAGGTTATAACAATCAAAGTCTAGTCGGAGATCTTCCTCCAAATAGGGATGAAGGAAGACACAGCCTCCGTTCTAATTTCGTCCGACAAGATTATTGAGTGGCTTAGTCTTTAACACGCTCGGCCAAGCACAAACTCGCACACTATAGACAAAAGAAAGTAGAACGAGCTTCTATTATTGCAGACTACGTGTAAAATTTACACAATCTAAAATTTTAGATACGTCTAATGTCGCACCTATCGAATTCACACAAAAATCATATGCAAGATAGATTAAGAATTTCCTGACTTAACTGATTTGTATTCTTGTTCTTTTAACATGTCCTATGTCTTGATTGTTGGCCAGTTTGTAAACAGGGAGCTCATATTCTTGTGCGGCTCAGCTGAAGACTCCAAGACTGTCGAAGAGATTGAAAACCACCTGAGCAAGATCAAATTCCCCGTCAAGTTCTTCAATATCAACACCAAGAGAAAGCAATTCCTATTCCGCCTCGAGAACTGCATATCCTGGATGATGCAGGCGAATAAGGAGATGCCAAATTCCCTGATGCCGGGGCTGCCCGAGCTCTACAGCAGCTACAAGAAGCAAAGCGGGTTCGCCATCGTCGCGAGGGGGTCGAGCGTGATCGTCAACACTAGTGTCACAGATCTCTTGAAAGTGCTGTCGAAGCACGAGTTGATCAACAACGTGACTAACACACAGGATTTTGAAACCCACTTCGTAGCGTGCCACAATAAGGTCGCTCCCCCGTCGCAATGCCTCGAATTCTCTATCCCCAACATGGTCGGTGACATGCCGGAGTACACAAAGTGCCCCAAGGCCGATTGCACTCTGAATATGGAGACCGTCACCACCTTCAAGTGCTGCCACGGTAAGCACTGACCAGCCAATGAGGCCACCGAGCCCAACGCCTTCGTTTGGCGCTCCAGAATAAACACCGACTGCTCAGCTCAGTCGCGTTTTCACGTCGTTTCTTTCTTTCCAGTTTGATATTGCTTTCCATTGTGTGTGGTTGGAGTATGTAACAAGATTGTGCGTGAGCTGTGCACAACTCGATGTACCGCGCATGCGGACACGGTGTGCAATGAATAAAAGTTTTTTTATCATCTGTAACAGGGTTCTACGTGTATGTAACATGCAGAACTTGATGTACTCTGCATGCAGACACTGTGCTACGAATAAAAGTTTGGGTTAATACCATGGAAAACCTCAAATTGATAAACCTGTGATAAATTTATCCGAAATTAATTTTTTGATCACAAAAAACCTCAAACTGGTACATGTGACAAATTTATCCTAAATTAATTTTTTGACAATCAAAATTAATGATCTTATTGGATTAATACCACAAAAAATCACAAATTGGTACATGTGACAAACGAAGGATAAAACCCCAAATTAGTACACTCATTAACTATCACGTGTCATTAAACTCAGCAATTTGATAATAAAATATAATGAAAACTAACTTAGGGTAAATTTATCACAAGTATACTAGTTTGGAATTTTTAGTGATAAAATTAATTTTGAGTAAATTTATTGCAAGTATACCAGTTTAGGATTTTTTATGGTATTAACACTAAAAGTTTTCATGATCTTATTTAGGTTCATTAGTTATGTACGGTCTTGGGGCGTACAAAACAAGACTTTTCATGTTATTTCCCAAAGGCAACCGCAACACACGATTCAGAGATCTCTAACGACTCCAGTCCCAAATTGGGCGCATCTGGTGCATTAGGCCCCGCAGACTTGATCCGATGGATCATGGGCTAATTCCCAAAAAAAAAAATACAAACTTTAGTTCGAGTGATAATTTTGGCCTCAACTTTTTTTTATCTCATAAAGATTACCAAATTTCACACTTATCCCAAATCCGACCCCTCGTTGACTCTTTATCTGAAGCCATTCTTGTTTGAGAAAAAAGGTTATGGTCACGAACTTGACGGATCTCGTCCATGGTGTCTCTCGACGAGCGGTGGTCTTCAGCTTCAGATTACGACGGACAGAGAAATTTAATCTAAAGATCTTTTGACTTGCCGTTGAAGTGAAGGAGATAATGAACTATTTCACTGCTATTCTTCAAACCGTGGCTAAAAAAAAAAAGGACAATGGATAGTGCTTTAAATCCCGTCAGCAAGCCATATGGATTTATTATTGAGGTATAATAGACAAGTTAGACAATCAACGGTTTTAAGTCAAGGGGGGTCAGATTTGAAATTTAAGTGAAAGTTTGTGATTTTTTACGAGACAAAAAAAAATTGATGCCAGAATTGTCACTCGATCTAAAATTGGCATTTTTTTTTTTGAATTAGGCCATAAATCATGTGATGGCACCATAAAACCCACGTGACCCGACAAATCGCCTACACTCAACCTATATGTTCCGTTGGTGCAGCCAATAACTTACCATGTGAGAGAGGACTATTAGAGTGTGAGAGCTCTGTGCTCTCTCTAGTCTCTAGTATCTACAGGAAGAGTGTCGAACCCTACCAAATAAAAGTCGTTTATTGAGTTTACGTGTATTGATTATATTGATTCAGCGCTTATCCTTTCGTTAGACTTTAGTGTGTGATAATGTGTCATTTTATTACCACATCCTATTGAGAACTTACTACTTGAGTCACAAAGGAAATTGGGAGCCCTCTCTAAGGGCGTTCGTTTGGCGAAAAATAATAGATTTGAAAAATATTATTCGAAAAATAATTGCTTATATCGTTTAAAAAAATTAATCAACTAAAAATATATTCATCATCAATAACAATTTGTGTCTAACTATTTTCATGAGGGATGAAAAAAATTTCTATTAAATTATTTTTGTAAATGATAGAAACGATTATTTTTCAGAAAATGTTTTCCAAATCATTTATTTTCCGAAAAACAAACGCACGAATTTCATCCTTCACAATGTACGGTATTTCAATACACATACTTGGAGTCGGTCCCAATCTGGCAAAGCTGGGACAGACTCACTTAGCGAACAAAACATTCTGACAGCGAGGTAGGTTCCAACCCCGTTCAATAAGTCACGGAGCTTCCACAAGATTGTGAGACTCCAATAACAATATGAAAAAAAATTCTTTATTCGGATGAATGCAGAAAATTCTTTGAGCAACTAAGCAAACGTCAAAATTCTACATACAAGTCGGATTTTGATTTCGTCCCGTCTTCAAATCTCATTTGGCAAAAACTCAGATGGCTCCTGAGATGGCACGAGCGCTTCAAAACCCTAGCCTCTTCTTTGCCTCCACTTTCATCCTCAGATTTTCCTCAGTCGGAATCTTGCCGCCGGCTCGGGAGGTCATACACAACCAGGCCATTAACTCATCCTATGAATAGTAATAGGCAAAGGAAAGGGATTAGAAAAAAGAGGAAAAAGAAGAGTGTCCTGTCAAACAATAATCCTCTTTCTTCCCAGCTCTTTCTCCTGTCAAGCATCTCATTTGCAATCCAATCGGCTAAACAACGGTAGACGAGATCATCACAAACTTCAATCCCTACCAGCCTTGTAACTTCTTAGAGATAGTCAGCTAGTAGAAAAAGCTTAGCATGCGAAACCATCATTTAGCTGTTGGACATAGTCGATGATTTAGCTATTAAACGACCCGCAAGACCACCGGCAAAACCAATAGCGAAATACTAAGCATGGAGCCTTGATATAATTAGATTCATCAGTCGATAAGTATGACAATTCATCCATGCCTTTCATAGGCTTCTATACTCTGTTGATATGAGCCACTTCCATAAAATGAAAATTCTGAAGGTTCACAGACTCATCTCCTTAAATATGATGTTCTGATCAAATGATGATGTTGCCTGTTCCGTCCATTTATGTTCTTTATGTTAACCGACCTTTTCCTCGAAGAAGTTGAGACTTTATGAAATTCACCAATATCACGCACAAACATTTCTCATTCTATAAAGCTCAAGATTCATCACGTGCAATCATTTCTCGTTCTATACCCCCTGTTGCCATGATTAAAAAAAATCACCTTCATGGTTGACCTTCAACAAATTAAATTAATCTTGGTAAATGTCAGTCTCGCTCGTTTATAAATCATCAAAATAACCATTCTATAACAAGATACATTTGTGTTATAGAAACCCACGTAGCACGACTATTCACCACGCTAAGTGCAATTGGAAAATCAATTGTCGGTTAATACTATGCCTGCAATAGAATGGATGAAACAAGACGGGAAACGACAAAAGCATAGCTAAATTCTAGAGTGGATTCAACATTGTCATGATGGATGCCTTCAAAACTCATAAAATTCCTGAGGAAGTTCCTCTGACAATTTACGAAAAATGAAAAGAAAAAGAGGAAAAAAAGAAAGCACCCAGGGAAATTCGTGAAGGATGAATGAGTTAAGTTATTACCTCAAGAAAATCATGGCTGAAGACGTATTGACTTTCAACGAGACATTTGACTCCACCAATGTTCACAGCAATACGATTTCTTCCGGATGACTTATCTATTTGCATTCCTGCACAATAAGTTCCACATGCCACAAACCTCCAGTAAGGATCCCAGATTTGGGTATTGATGCATTGGATGCATGCTGTCTCCTACTATAGTCCCATCTGCTGTCTCCAAGCACAAAAAAAACATGTGGCGCCACTCCGCCACACCTTAATCTCACCCATAGTAGATCAAAACATTAAAATCTCTCTCTCTCTCTCTCTCTCTCTCTCTCTCTCTCTCTCTTCCACCTTCTGTACAGATATAGAGCCCCCCATACTTCTCCACTGCCTGAGCCACTGCAGCCCCCAACCACACCATTGACATCCGCCGCCCTGCTGTTGCTGCGCTCCTTAGGACAAGTTCTCTCAATTGGTCTTTGTCCCTGCAGCCCATGTCCCTCTATATGTCCCCATCCCTGTTTCTTAATGGACAGAGCCTAAGCCTCGAGCTAAGCCTTGGCCATGGACACAGGCATCGAGCTAAGTTGCCTCTGTTTTTTCTGTTTGAGCTAGGTGTGAGCTACGCCCCCTGGATGCCGAGCCTCCAGATCTGGAGGCACACCTCTAGATCTTGCGGCAGCGGCAACTTGACCATGGCTGCAGGCTTTGACAGTGAGGTCGAGCGACGTTTGTAAGCGTGAAAATCAAAAAATGAAAGACAGATGAAGGCAAGAACAAATGAGGGGGTGAATGGGGAAAAAGACGGAGCAGTGACAGCAGTTGGATGGCGGCGATGTGTCCCGAGATGTGGCAGTAGCCAGTTCTGAGTGTGGCATTGGCAACTTCAGCAGTGGTGACGGCAGGCAGCAGTGTGGCGGTTGGGCATGGAAGCAGTTGAGGGGGTAAAGGAGGAGAAAGAGGGAAGAGAGAACTAGGATTTTGTAGGCTATAGATTGGATGTGGCGAGGTCTAGAATTGAGTGGACACATATCACAATCTCAGGATGGAGACAGCAGATGAATTCACAACAGACGACAGCATCCGGATGGGGAACATGTGCATTCAGAACATAACTTAGACAGCATATACAAAATATAACAGATGAAAAGAGTGATTTTGAGTTGTACCAGTTATGCAAGCTACATAATAACCAGTTCCTCCAAGTCCTTCCCACTTTCCAAGACGCAAGCGCAGGAAGAATCCATCAAGGTGCACCGGGGATGTCCGGGCACTCATCCACCTAAAATTTAAAGGACAGAGAAAGAGATTCATCTAAGACCAACAAAGTCTCGATGAATATCCGACTGTTGTGAATAACAGTCCACACAGAATGCCACAAAAAGTACCCTTTAAAAGCACTTAAAAAACTCCCACAAATAACCCTTGATCCATTCTCTAATTAAGAAAATTTGTCCTATTCTTTCATTTTCCTTGTGTTGCCTCTCTCTCTCTCTCCCCCCAACCCCAGAAAAGCTCAGTCTTCATCTTGAAGCTGTGACTACGGTCATCTTCATCGTTCCACTTCAGAGAATTAAAATAGACATCCCAAATAGAAGGAATGATGTCAGACACTAAGCACATACATGTTTCTCTCTACTATAACCGCAACATTATATGCTGCAAATTACAAGGAATGATAATAGCAATTAGGTTGATTGCAATTCTGTTCAAGTTTCACCAATATTTGACGATAAAAACAAAACATGAACTGGCAAACCACCCATGCAGTCGGTTGTTTCGTTGGCAAATTTCACACCAAAGAGATCGTTTTTTTTGCGGTGCCCCCTTATGTTTACATAAATTTTGACATGGCATACGGAATACTTGATCTATCTATCATGTAGTTTTCACAAAACCATAGTTTTGATTTAACTCTTAACTCTGACGGACTGTCACGCCCCGTACCCTACGAAGCATGAACATCTGCGTATAGGTCGAAATGTGGTGCGACGCTCCCTGGTTACGTCACCGACCCGAAAACCCAAATCAGAGAAAACACGCAACATGCGGAAACGACGTATATATAATAGATATATATACACCCAGACAATTTAAAAGCAATCATGAATAGCAAGAGATAACAAATTACGAACTATTAAAACAATATATACATTCATTATAAGACTTATATACAATATCCGTTTTTAAACAGGAGATACAACAAAAAGATCACTAAAACAAAAAGGGATCGGTGGCCTAGGGGATCGGACTAACAACAGGAGGGCTACAGTCAAAAAGTATCGGCCCTCGCTCCTAAAACTGAGGTCTGCCCTAGGGTATCCAGTCGGGGTCAGATCCAAATGTCTCGGAAAAAACTCTCGGACTGCTCTGGCTCCTCCTCTGAACTCATAGCCTCAGACTCTGTCTCGGGCTAGGGGTCCTGCTCCTCGACCTCAAAATTCATGGCCGGAGATCTGAAATGTCGGTTTTACCACAACCGTGAGAAATCTCAGCAAGTATAAACCACTAATCCTAATTAAACTAGGCTAAAGTGCCCCTCCAGACAGGTAATTTAAACATGCCAATTAATGAACCAGTAAAACACTATAATTATCCTGGGCTCACAGCCCAATACAATATCTCGAAGACCTACAGATTAGGTGTTTAACAACAATGATACTTACGTGCAATGATTCCGACCTGAAGGCTCACAAATATTACGACCCGAAGGCCACGACCCGGAGGCCAACAGTTGAATATAACGACCCGTAGGCCCGACCCGAAGGTCCACAGTTGAATAAAGCGACCCGTAGGCCTGACCCGAAGGCCACAATTAAATAAAGCGACCCGTAGGCCTGACCTGAAGGCCAACAGTTTGAATATAACGACCCATAGGCCCGACCCGAAGGTCCACAGTTGAATAAAGCGACCCGTAGGCCCGACCCGAAGGCCAACAGTTTGAATATAACGACTCGTAGGCCCGACCCGAAAGTCCACAGTTGAATAAAGCGACCCGTAGGCCCGACCCGAAGGCCACAATTGGATATAACGACCCGTAGGCCCGACCCGAAGGCCACAGTTGAATAAAGCGACCCGTAGGCCCGACCCGAAGGCCACAATTGGATATAACGACCCGTAGGCCCGACCCGAATGCCACAGTTGAATAAAGCGACCCGTAGGCCCGACCCGAAGGCCACAATTGGATATAACGACCCGTAGGCCTGACTCGAAGGCCACAGTTGAATAAAGCGACCCATAGGCCCGACTCGAAGGCCACAATTGGATATAACGACCCGTAGGCCCGACTTGAAGGTCCACAGTTGAATAAAGCGACGCGTAGGCCCGACCCGAAGGCCACAATTGGATATAACGACCCGTAGGCCCGACCCGAAGGCCACAGTTGAATAAAGCGACCCGTAGGCCCGACCCGAAGGCCACAATTAAATAAAGCGACCCGTAGGCCCGACCCGAAGGCCAACAATTGAATATAACTCAAGCATGTACATCGTTTCACTCAATTTCAACCAATCACAACTTGATATGCAAAATATATGTTCAGGAATTTGTGTCGATACCCAAGGCGACATGCCGAATACAATTATTCCCCAAGTCAATGTATCTAACATACTCTCGGCACAATCAAATTATTCCCAATGTAATCCAACCATTTTAACATTTATTCCGCGCATTTGTTACAATTCAATTTCATGCGCCTGGCCCGCCTTGAGCAAATCAATTCCGATAGTCGATCTCACCATCGTGGGGTCATCCAATAGGGTTTATTTAAGTCCCAACCAACCCCCAAGAATGCCTAAATTCTTGCCATTAATCAATGAATCAACTAAGTACTCAACCTAGACAAATTGCACAAATTCGGTACTGAATGAACAGTACCAGGGCAGGACACATTTTGTCCACTAAACCACAATTAAACACCCTCATTAGGCTCTAGTCTCAAACCCTAATTACCCAACAACCAAGTACACTTAATTAAGCTTCAAATAAGCCTAATTAATCCCCAAAATGTCCAATTCCAAGTCATTAGCACTTGAACTTAATTAGTGCCATACTTAGACAAATATGCACATTTTCGGTACTCAATGAACAGTACCAGAACAGAGCATCATTTGGCCATTAAACCACACTTAACCAACCTCATTAAGCCTTAATGACCTATCCTAATCATCCCACACTCAAATAAACACAATTAGGCCCTAAATAAGCTTAATTAACCCCTAATTACCCCCTAAGAAACACAATTAGACTAATTAAGGGTTTAGGGGTTTTGTACTCGCCTATTGATGATTCGGGACGACGAGAACGGGCGGTCGATCACCGACACGCGGTAAGGATCGACGGCGGCGTTCCGGGTGCAAGCCGGCGGTCACGGCGACGACGGGAACGACGATTTGCGGCTGGTCTTCTTCTGTTTGGGGCTGGAACCGGGCTGAGGGTGGCGATTCAGGTGAGAGAATGATGGCTGGGGGTGGTGGTGCTCGGGGTAGGGCACGGCGGCGTCCGGCGAGGCCTCCCGGCGTCCGGCGGTGATGAAAGCCGACGGTGGCCCTCACTGTTCCGCCTGGACAGTTGCTGTGAGTGGCGATTTAGGGGAGAAAGAAAGGTCGAGGGGGGCTGAGATGATGACAGGTGGTGGCGTGTGGTGGTAGGCGGCCAACAGCTCCGGCGGTGACACTGTTCCGGCGTGAACAGTGCCAGGAAGAGCAGAACGTACACGGCAGAAAATGAAACGGGGAAAAGGGAGAAAATTTTGGGGGAAATGGCCGAATGATCATCAGGAAAGAGAGAGGGTCTGGTCAAATGTGGTCAAGCTTGGTGTGAGTGGAATCTATGTGTCTCAATCTAGGCCAATTGGACAATTTTGCCCTTGATTCAATGGCTATCTTTCCTTTTCATCCAATAATTTAGGGGTAAAATGGTCCTTTGTCACTAACCCAAGGCTGACCAGACCTGGATTAAGTCAAACTCACCTTGGTTAAACCCCAAAAATTAACCAAATTCGGAATTGTCCAAAAATGGCCTAGGGGCATTTTCGTAATTTTTCGATCCCGAACCGAAATTCCAATTTTTGTCCATACCGGTCCTATATATGCATGGCCAGCATAATACGGTGTCGGATCCTTAAAAATCATCCTTTAAGCCCTCGAAAATCAGTCCAAAAGTTTGGAGGGGCAAAACCGTAAATTCTCATTTTTCCCCCACCAAACGGCGTCTGATTAATTCCGATCCTTCACGGAACTTTCTCGCCATAAAATACCGGTTCTAAAAACCCAACTTGCGTCCCGATCGGCCCATCACGGCCCCATGAACAATAGATCACAGCCACTGTTATTTTCTAATTTCCAATAATTAATGCCCGAATTAAATCCCAAGGCCCGCCATAAAATTTCCACTACCAAATCATGCAATTCCGCACCTAACTTTATACAGATTTCGCCCAAAATCGTCCGTCAATACCCGAAGTCCAAAATTGTGTTTAGAGCGCGACTTACTAAAATCAAACGAGCATTAACATACACTTCATTGGTCCCGGTAATGGGACAAAATTCAGGATGTTACACGGACATTCTGGGTGTCTTAGAAAATGTGATTTACCTGCAAAAGAGGTTTCACCAAAACCAAGAAACCGTAGCCAACAGAAATCAATATGCCTGATGATTGAAGACAAACTAATATTTTGCCAACAGTATCATTCAAAGAGATTATGAAGTAAAAAGTTTTACTTACTTGAGGATGCTGGTCCGAGACAGTTGAAGCATCTTTATTGAGTCAAAGATTGCTTTAGGCACATCTGATACAAGCCATTCACCGAAATTTCCTGTTGATGTCATCACATTCTCTTTCAGCTGATGTTGAAAAGGGCTCAAAGCACTGCATTTCCTAATCCAGCTTGGGATGGGAATATCTTTGCCAGAGGTTGATAGTTCCTTCAATTTCAAGTTTCCATTAGAACTATCTATAAGGTTACTCTTTTGGTACATTTGTTTATTCTGAAGCTGTGCTATATCAGAACAGCGGTGATTAACAACATAGATACAATCCTCCGGCGGCATCGATTTTGATACAACATTTGGACATGTAACAGCCCAATGATTGAGCTGATAACATCTAATGCATAGAGGAGGCATTTCCTCCACTACTTGATATGATTTGGCAGTCCTTAGGAGGCCTTCCAGCTGAGCTTCTGCTATCTCTGAGCAATTTCGGAGACCATGACCTTTTATTCCACAAAAGAGACAAGTTGAACTACACCCAGCACCCAAATCTAGTGGATTTGTTGGGATAATGTGCTTAAGGGCATCTAATCTTCGAGCAAACAATGAAGCCATTTCCTCGGAACTTTTGAGTCTCTGAGTAGATGAAATACAGTTCACTTTGTGTATCATATGGTGATCATGACTATTCTGGAGCTTTCTGAAACCAAAAGGAAGCTTCACTACCAGCAGCACAATCTTGTGGTTCTTTTCCAACACCATTAGATGGCTCTTCAGTGTTACAATCCTTGACCTCTAGATTTGCTGGAGCTTGGTGACAACCAAAAGATTGCTTAGACTAAGCTGTAATTCTTATGAGATTCCCCGAATCCTCGGTTGTTCCACCCATACTCTGGACACAGAGATCCTGCTTTTGTATAGAGCAAGAGGTCCTTGATGAAAAACGAGTTATCCACAAGCTTCCTAGAGGATCATTTCTGCTGCCAAGATTACTAATCTTCTCTACTGAAGAAGAAGAATGATCCTTACCTGCTTTTATTGAGTTTATTTCCCCCAAAGAAGAGTTGGATGAATTTTTTGAGTTCTTATAACTTCCGTTATCCAAGTTGTCGAGATTCTTATTCTTTGTGGAGTGATTTTCACAATTCTCCTGAGAGACAGCAAATCTTGCATCTAAAACCCGAGTAATATTTGGACCACCTGCTCCAATTTCAGGAGTAGATTCATCCATCATCCTGCATTGCAGCAGCAGCTTCTTGCTTGGGTTGTTGTTCTCTGCTAGACATGCTAATGGATGCACATCTTTAGCACATATCCTGTTAGCCGGCTCAATTTTTGTAGATCCTTCTCCCGCTTGACTAGGAAGCAGAAGTGTTCTCGATTCTTGAGCAGTTTTATTCGGACAGTAGATTGATTGAAAAATGGACTTAAAACCCATATTCCCACTATTAGCATCCAGGTTTTGGCCGCCAGCTACAAATGAACCATCCAGATGCTCATTTCCAGAACTAGGACCAGTGAGAGCAGGTGAGAGAGAGCCTGCCACATCTTGATTTGTTTTTGACAGGCCCTTCAGCACGTTTGATATCCAATTCATGAAGGAGCTGTCTTGTCCAGCAAAAGAGCTTGACGCACTTTGGTTTTGAACATACCTAGCTCGCTTATTTCCACCAATCAGATGCGCTTCAACACTCCCTCTCTTTCTTCCAACTGAAAATAAGCCTGCACTGTTACAGCTTTCAACACTCTCATGGCTGTTGTCATCCTCTTTTAGTAATCGTCCACTAGCATCTCCATCAGATAATGCCTTTTCTTTAGCTTTCTTATGACTTCCGCAGATTCTTCTGTTACTAGAAACAAGTTTGCCTTCGTGTTGGATATCAGCATCATGCATAGAGATGCTTTTGACTTCTGAGGAAGATTCTGAGGCTACAGCATCAACTGCTGCATGGCAGATGTTCTCACTATTAAGAGTTCTTATGTCATTCTCAGCTGTTGATTCTAGTTTCTCCAATAATGGAAGACTTGGGTTACTGGTTTTCTTGCTTTCCTCTCTTAAAAGTGAAGCTAGTTTGTCATCCTCTCCGCCTGGAGAGAAAGCTGGAGTAGCAGAAGCTCTCTGTTCATTCAGTGGGAGAACTTCTGACACCATTGTAACTCCCATTGCCAATTGCTCATAGTTCATAGCGACATCTTGCCCTCCAAAGGCAGGATCTCCAGGAGAAACTTCATTATCTGGAGGATTTCCATTTTTACCACTAACCTGACCTGCCAAGGTAGATTCAGTAGGCATGAGATGTGAAATTTGAAAAACCAAACGCAAGCTTCTGTTGGAAGAAAGATTTTCACTGATCCAAAAGGTAAAGTACCTATCCCACAGTTGCTTGTGTTAGAGAATAATGTCATTATTGTTTCATAAAGCGAAAGAAACACACAAAAGAGAAAAATTTTGGTAATGAACTAATTCAAAATCTCATAACTTGCTTAAATTACATAGAAAATCAGCATGTGAGGTCCTTAGTTGACTATGGCTGTCACGCCCCGAACCCCCATTGAGCTCGCAACATCCCCTGCTCCGGTCGAAATGATGTGACGTCCCAGGAACGTCGTCGACCCAACCTAAACATCAGAGCCACATGCGGAAGCGGATATAAAAACCCCGGACAAAAAGATGACGGCAACAGGGTAGAACAACAGAACAAACAAACAACAACATCTTCATACAACATCAAATATACAAACATCATATTATAGACATAATTACAAACGAAGATCCTCCGTCACCGTTTTAACAAAAGATCAAGGTCTGGTTAACTTAACATCCCTATGGGTCAACCCGATTTACACAACCCCTAAAATCCTAGGGAAAACCTAAGGATCACCCTTCTCCATTCTGCTCCTAATTCATCTAGCTCGATCCTTCGGAAATCTCTTGGGCATCGCTTGCAAATCCACTGGGCACCAAAGGCGGTTCCTCGAACTTCCAAAAAGAGGAGGCGAACTTCCCGGGTCTAAGGCTGGGGGTCTGAAAGTGGCAGTTATACAACCGTGAGACGAATCTCAATAAGTGTACAACCCCAAATCCCACGTAGGCACTCACGTACCGCCAGACAGAACACGCATCTCACACAACGATCAATCAATCTAACAATCACACACGAACCTACCTAGAACCCATCATGCAAATTCCTGCACATTAGACAACAATACAGCCAGCACCTCGTAGCAATGAATCACAGACACGCGCGTGCCTCAATTATAAGATAGAAACCACTTGGGCACATCCCTTACCGTGCCTAGCAGTTTCTACCCCATAATTAAGCATCACATCACGCGATACAAACACACTCGCACACTAACTCACACCATGCGTCACTTTCTCAAACCTCGCACCTCAAGCCAATTTCCGCTCATTCTCAACTCTTCCACCACTACCTCGCCCGCGTAAAACGCATCAAGCCAACGGTCTTCTGACCTCGTTAGGCATAATCATCCCGTCAGGCTGGGCATCGTCACCTCGTCAGGGACAGCATCGTCCCGCGTAAACGAACACGCCTCAGAACGGAATCCTACACACACTTTCCTTCTACCGTGCCCGCGTAAAACGCATCAGGCCAACGGTCTTCTGACCACGTCAAGCATCGTCACCCCATCGGGCCGGGCATCGTCACTTCGTCAGGGGCGGCATCGTCCCGCGTAAACGAACACGTCTCAGGACGGATCCTTTCCAACCAATCCTACCTTTCCATATCCTCGTTCCACTCAAACCACACTTACACACAGTCAACAATCGCACGGCCAAACATACGCACCTCACATACATACATAGCCACGCACCAATTCACATCTCACGTACACTTCACAAACACACGTTCTCGTCACACGAACACCACACGATCACCTACACTCGGCACACGAACTCGTTACGCAATCACACCACCACACTAGCGGCTACACACATGATGCACACGGTCACACTACCACGCCACATTCAGTCCAATATCACTCGAAAAATCAGCCAATCGCCACCAGTCGCACAATCATTCAGTTCAGCCCAATTAAGCCACAATAATTCCAAACAATCACACATTTAATCCCCGATCAATCCACAACATCACATTCCTATCCGATCCTCCTAAACCTCGAACTCTCATCGCCAAATCAATCCATAACGACCCAAATATCCAGCCCCTAATTCAGTCCCCAAACAGTCACAATAATCACCTAAATCGAGTCTTAAACGACCCTAACGATACCCGAGGTCCTAGGCGACATTTGGGGAAAACACTTACCTAATAAAAACAGGACACTCGGCTGGACAGGGGGCTGGGATGACCGGAACAGCAGCAGCAGCAGCAACGGCGTCGCCGGCGACAACTCACGACGGTGTACGGACGATGTGTACGGACGCCGTACGGGCGATGACATACGGCGACGTACGGTTGGCTGAGGCGTCCCGGCGGTAGCAGCTCGGATAATCAAGCTCCGGCGCGGCGGCGGTCGGCCTCCAAACGGCGGTACACGGCGTTTCCTTGCACCGAATGGGGAAAAAGAGAGAGAGAGAGAGAGGCGGGATGGGGCGGTGCTGCTGGTGGGTGGTGGCTGGACGAGGCATCAGCAGCGACGGCGGTCGGTGGACAGCGGCGGCACGGCGGTGGCGAGCTCCGGCGAGAATGGCCAAGAGAGAAAATGGCGGAGGAGGGGCTGCTCAGTTGGGGGCTGCTGGCCGAATGGAATGAAGGGGAGAGGAGAGAGAGTCTGGTCCAAGGGTGGTCAAATAAAGCAGCCCCATCGCGCCACGTGTCGCCGATCCAACGGTTTTGACCAAAATGCCCCTAATCTAACGGTCCTCGCTCGTTCCAGTCAAATAATTGAGGGGCAAAAGCGTCCAAGGTCCAATAATGCAGCTGAAAACCCTTAGTAATTATCCCAAATATTTTCCCAAAATTCGGAACTGAAAACGGCCCAGGGGCAAAATGGTCATTTTTCCGGTCCCGGGGCGAAATTCCAATTTTTGGCTATACCAATCCCAAATGAGTGTGACCAACATAATATGGCGTCGGAATCGCGAAAATAGCTTCTTAAGCCCTCGAAAATCGATTGCAAAGTCCTAGGAATAAAACAACATTATTTTTCACTTCCGAGCCAAAATTCCATTTTTTGACCGTAAAAACTCCAAATATGCGTGGCCACCCCAAAATGACATTGGCCTAAAAAAATAACCTCATACGGCCTCAGAATCAACGTCGGGGTCCCAAGGGGCAAAATCGTAATTTTTCCGGCCCCGAACCGAAATCCATTTTTTTGTAGAAATGGTTGGCCCCAAGGTTGGCCAAACCAAAAACATCATCGGCCGTCCAAAATTGTCACTTTCAAAATTCTCGATTACCGGGCCCGAATTCCTAGAAATGATTAGAATCGAACAATCGCGACTTTAGCTTATCTCTTGCTAACGGGTGGCTCATTGGGATTACGCGCTCTCGACCCGTGACCGACACTAAGTCAAATCACGTTTAAGTTTGCTCGAACCAAGGCGACCTCGATTGTCATATAATTGCAAGGGTCTGTCACTAGTGCCCTTCGGACATGATCAATCAAATAGATCGGTCTCTGTTGGCCCAAAACATTCCCTCGACAATCCTTATGGTCGAAGGCCGAACCAAGGTCGAGTTCTTTGGTCGTGCGAACTTAATCCCGTACTGGCCTTGCCCCTAAGGTTAACATCCCGTGAATGCGCATTTCTGGATGAGATCTCACTATAAGTGCGTTGGCCAAAATATTCATTTCATGAATCCTGGGAAAAAGATCGAAAATTCAGACTGTTACAATGGCATAACATACCGGGGACATTTGAAAAGGCATTTTCCTTGCTCGTTGTTATTTCAGCCCTTTGCCCAACGAAGCCACAACAATCCTCTGGCTCGCCATATCTTGAGCCTCTGGTTTCAAGATTTCTGTGTGAGACAGGCGCATCAGCCTCAGCATTCACATCAACCATTGGATCAACATTTTCTGAAAGCAAAGATTGTTTCAACTAAATGCCTGATATGAAGCATCAACTTAAGGGAACTCAAACTTTAATTGGTCAGTCTAACTGTAAATGACATTACCCTTCTATAAGTTGACACATTACCTGATGCAAATCTCGACCCTGCACCCCATATAGGGGAGGGTTTCCTTTCTATGAAGCTGCAGTCGGCACATTTTAAACTTAACCCTCCGTGCGGAGAACAAACCAGCTCAGATAAGGGATTCGCAGCCACAAATGTCATGCACCCACTTGATCCTGCATTTGCACCTGCACTTGGATCATCATTTGATATTCTCTGATTGCACTGACTTGAATAGTCCAAAGCAAGTCCTAACTCGGTCACAGGTTCTATCTTTTGATTTTCCAAATTCATCTTTTGCTCAATAATCCTCTAAATTGATGCTAAAACCATACAACTGAGATCCTTCTCTTTCTTCATGCTACATGTTTCTGTTTCATATCCCAAGGCATGACGACTGTGTTGTTTAATCAGTAGCCACTTTAGATATATGAAGTGACCTGGGAAAGTATACAAAGGCAGGAGCAATGTTATATTACTCGCGCAGCAAGTAGTTCAGACATGAATCCATGTAAAATAAACGAAATACTCAATTCATAATGGCATATCACATCAATACGGCGAATCTAAATCTTTCAGAGCACCTGGTATTACAAAAGGATTCAAATATTTGACACCGCTAAAACAGGCAAAGTTTAGGTTTTTTTATGTTTGTATATAAGAAAATTGATTTGTATGGTTCAATCATGGCCTACAACATGCAACCTATTAAAAATATGTCTCGAGTTTGAGCTCGTGAACGAAATCCGATCTGAGATGGAATTATAATTTGTGGATGTCCAAATATAAGCCATGGTAATGCAAAGTTTTCTTTTCGGTGTAAAAGTTTCGCTGGATAAGGATTCCAAACAAAACAAGAAAAGGAAAGTCTGGGTGAGAGAAGAGGAAATAAAATAAAATAAGAAGGGCACACAAATTATATGTCCCTGTTAGTGCAGTCGGCCAAAGGGAAAGATAAAATAGGAAAGTCCAAAATTTGGTTTTGGTTGACCGTGTATTACTTGGACTTTGTTTCCTATTTGATGTGGCAATCTTCACGATGGAAATTTGCACTTCCCTCTGGTGGTGGGTTTAATATAAATGTTTCTCAAGATTTCTTTATAGATGTCAGAGAGAAGACAAGAAGCGTCGTTCCAACCGAATGCTTGCAGTGGGTCTTTCTTGACGAGTTATATCCATGAAGTCTTGAAGCGCCTTTTCGTGAGTGCTTGTGTGCCGTGGGCATTGTTGATGCGTGCAGAGCTGGTCTTTGTGTCGTCCATGTCCAGAGAAGAACTGAAGCGCCGGATCGAATGGTTGACATGAATCTTCGTGGAATTACATCTTGGCATTTTCTTCGTGCGTGATATTGAAGAAAAAAAAGTACGTGTGATTTAGCTGATTAAATTTTGTGGTAAGATTTGTGTACAATTTCTTCGTAAGATTGAGAGATTATTTCATGAAGAATTGTGGGGCTAAACACTGCGTGAGTTATTGGATATAATTGGGGCTTGAAAAACACTGAGAGTGTTTGAGTGACTCGAGTATGGTTGTAATCTCCGTTGTATCGCTTAATCTATAGTAGAATTCCGTGTTGCTCTTCCCGTGGACGTAGGTCACTACGACCGAACCACGTAAATCTGGTGTCCGATTTATTTTCTTGTTCTGTCAAATTTATTGTTCAATCGCTTAGCTTCCGCAACAATTAGTATCAAAGCTAGGCTTGACTTAATTGAAGCAAATCGATGGCGGCAGAAGAAGGAAAAGTGAGAATCGACAGATTTGATGGGAATGATTTTGGTTTCTGGAATATGCAGATTGAAGATCATCTATATCAGATGAAACTGCACTTGCCCTTGTCTAGGGAAAAGCTAGAGACGATGAAGCAAGCTGATTAGGAATTGCTGGATAGACGAGCTTTAGGTGTTATTCGGCTAATGTTGGCTCGTAACGTCGCGTTCAACATCGTGAAAGAGACAACCACTGCGGGTTTGATGAAAGTCTTGTCGGACATGTACGAGAAGCCCTCTGCGATCAACAAAGTCTACTTGATGCGACGTCTATTTAATTTGAAGATAAGTAAGGGTGCATCAGTTGCTGATCATAGTAATGAATTAAATGTGATTGTTAGTCAATTAAGTTCAGTTGATACTGACTTTAAAGATGAGGTACGTGCTTTAATTCTATTATCATCGTTGCTCGATAATTGGAATACTACTGTTACTACTATTAGTAATTTCTCTAGGTCAACAAGTTTGACATTTGATGGTGTTCGAAATTTAATTCTAAGTGAAGACATCCGTAGAAGAGAATCTGGCGAACATGTATCTGCTGCTTTAGTATGTGAAAGAAGAGGAACAACTGGTACTCGTTGTCACGCCCCGAACCCCGCGAGCGCGCAACACCCCTCTTCGGTCATTGAGATGCGACATCCCAAGACTCATCGCCGACCCTTCATTTTATCTTTTAATTACGCTTGCGGAAGCGATCACAAAAATCCCCGGACAACAACAATAAATAGGAATAGTTAGAAAAAATTAAATCACAACAGTCAAACAACCCTATTTTGATTTTCACTTGATTAATCCCTGGGAACATATTTACAAGCCCACTTCGGGCGTTTCCACAAAAAGCCAGCAAAAAGACAAAGGTTAGGGTTAATCTATTCCATCCACAATATCAGTTTCCAGGTCTAACCCTCAAGGACCAACCAAAAACTGTTGTACTCCAAACCGTATAGGAATCAACGACATGCTAAGGTCCTGAAAAAGGTTTAACAACAACAAATGAGATAAAATCTCAATAAGTTAATGACCTAAGCCTCGCTTAGGAGGCCAACTTGCCTCTAGGGTCCCTAACTAGGTAATACAGTATCAACGGCAACATTATTAAACAACCACAGGCATCCTTACCTCACCTTGGTACACTCGTTGATGAAATGAACATGTCACATACTCGAAGCATTTAAATAGATTTCCCATGCATCAATGCATCACAGGTGCGCGTGTCTTGATTATAAGACATAATCCACTTGGGCACGTCCCATACCATGCCTAGCAGTTTCTATCACATAATCAGGCACTATGCATCACACATATTCCAGTTATTACGCCCCCTCGGGGACACTACACATCAAGCGATTTGCAGTAAGATGGCAGTCTTCCGGCATAACTGGGCTCCGTCCCATCCCGTCGGGCACGGCTACATCAAACGATCTACAGTAAGACGGCATTCCAATACGGCAACATCAAACGATCTACAATAAGATGGTATCCCATAAGGAGTATCGAGTCCGGCCTCGGGCCACGACAAGGCATCCGGAGTATCGGCAATCCAGATAATCTCCAGGCATCCGATAAATCGAGTATTGTCAAATGATCTACAACAAGACCCCAATAAATCAGGCATCGTCAAGCGATCTACAACAAGACGGCTCCGACGTGTGACCACATGAGCACACAAGCATTCCGACGAATTATTATCTTTCCAATTAGCCCATGCGTCCATGAATAGTGATCACACAATGCCGCAAAACAAATCAAGTGGTCACACATGCGAACAGTCAATCAATTTTGTGAACCTCATCCCAAAGCATAATTTCATCCTCAAGCATTAAATTCATTTAGTAAGCATGGCGATAAAATAATCCATTTTCGAGAACTCAAATCCTTTCTTGAAAATAGTTACTATAAAAATCGTTTAACTATACAACTAATTTTCATGGAAAATGTAACAGTCTGAATTTTCGATCCTTTTCCCGGGATTCATGAAATGAATATTTTGGTCAACGCACTTATAGTGAGATCTCACTCGGAAATGCGCATTCACGGGATGCTAACCTTAGGGGTAAGGCTATTACAGGATTGAGTTCGCACGACCAAAGAACTCGACCTTGGTTCGGCCTTCGACCATAAGGATTGTTGAGGGAATGTTTTGGGCCAACAGAGACCGATCTATTTGATTGATCGTGTCCAAAGGGCACTAGTGACAGCCCTCGCAATTATATGACAATCGAGGTCGCCTTGGCTCGAGCAAACTTAAACGTGATTTGACTTAGTGTCGGTCACGAGTCAAGAGCGCGTAATCCCAATGAGCCACCCGTTAGCCAGAGATAAGCTAAAGTCGCGATTGTTCAATTTTAGTCATTTCTTGGAATTCAGGCCTGGGAATCGAGAATTTGGAAAGTGACAATTTTGGACGGCCGATGACGTTTTTGGCTTGGCCAACCTTGGGGCCACCCATTTCTGCAAAAAAATGGATTTCGGTTCGGGACCGGAAAAATTACGATTTTGCCCCTCGGGACCTCGACGTTGATTCTGAGGCCGTATGAGGTTATTTTTCAAGGCCGGTGTCATTTTGGGGTGGCCACTCATATTGGGAGTGGTTACGGTCAAAAATTGAAATTTTTGCTCGGAAGTGAAAAATAATATTATTTTATTCCCAGGACTTTGCAGTCGATTTTCGAGGGCTTAAGAAGCTATTTTCACGATTCCGACCCATATTATGTTGGCCACACACATTTGGGGTTGGTACGGGCGAAAATTGGAATTTCAACCCGGGACGGGAAAAATGACAGTTTTGCCCCTGGGCCAAATTTAATTCCGAAAATTCTGGAAAATTAAGGAAATAATATTAAATGTTGGATCAGCTGAATTATTGGCCCAATTACCCTTTTTGCCCCTCAATTATTGGATTAGGTTGATTTTAGGCCAGCGGATCAAGGGCAAAATGGGAAATCGCGTAGGATCGCGACACGTGTCACCCCCTAGCCCCTTATATTTGACTAGCTGACCTTTTTCTCTCTCTCCTCCCTCATTTTTCGGCCAGACCACCCCAGACCAGCAGCCCCTCTCCACGTTTTCCTCCTCCTCCCGCCGGTTTCTCTCTCGGCCAAGGAACGCCGGAGCTCGCTGCCGCTGTCCGCCGGCCGCCATTGCTGCTGCTGCCTTGTCCAGCCACCACCCACCAGCAGCACCGCCCCATCCCGCCTCTCTCTCTCTCTCTCTCTCTTTTTCCCCATTCGGCGCAAGGAAATGCCGTATACCGCCGTTTGGAGGCCGATCGCCGCCGCACCGGAGCTCGAACAGCCGAGCCGCTGCCGCCGGGACGTCCAGCTGTGCCGTATGTCGCCGCACGTAGCCGTCCGTATGGCGTTCGTACAGTGTCCGTACGATGGCGTCCGTACGTCGGCAACGCTGCTGCTGCTGTTGTTCCGCGCCGTTCCAGCCCTGTTTGTCTCGCCTTTTAGTGTGAGTGTTTTCCCCAAATGTCATTTAGGACCTCGGGTATTGTTAGACGCGGTTATGGTTCAGTTTAGGGGATTTTGTGGCCGTTTGGGGCTGAATTGAGCGGCTGATTGTGTGATTGTTGTGGGCTGAATTGGGAAGTGAAAAATTGGTGGTTTGGTAGGCTCGGATGGGACTGAGGTGATGCGAAATGATCGCGGCTGAATTGTGCGATTAATTAATAGGATTGTGCCTTGAATAGAAATTTGTATGTGGTTATGTGATTATGCTTGTTGGTTGGCTTGGAAATTACTGTGGGCTGATTTGGGTTGTGCATTGGGCTGAATGTGGTGTGGTGGCGTGCCGTATTTGTGTGGCCGTGAAGTGTGGCGATGTGGTGGTGTGAATGTGCAT